TAGATGGCGAGAGTCAAGGCAGGTGCTCAAACGACTACCACAGTGGGAGTGCGTGAAGTGTGTCAGTGCAAGCATGAAGTCCTGTGGTAGCGGGCAGGGCAGACCACCTCCCCGCTCCACACTTCTGTCCACCGGAGCTCCTCACACAGCTGCTTGCAAAGGAGTCTACATTTGGCTCAGGCTCAGAATCAGTTAAGTGTTTGTTAGAAATAGATTATGTACTTGGCCTGCACAAAGCAGAGGACTTGAAAACAGGTTAGGTCAGCCTATGGCCCCATCTCTTCACAGGGTGCCAGCTCTCGATGGCACCCTGCTCAGGCACAGCAAGGGGGGCGGGGCCTCTGGGAAACGGGAAGGTCTGGGGTAACTTCGTGTGCCCTGCTGCTCATCCAGCCATCCGGCCGGCTGCTTTTCTCCACCCCTGACCTGGGGACACAGGTGTGTGGCTGGAGGTGAGCACTCCCGGCCCTTCCCGGGTGAGGAGTGCGGGGAGGCCCAGCCACAGGAGAACACCTGCAGCCTCTGTTCCCCTGGGACAGCCCTGGAGGCCGCTCCACCGCCCTGCCACGCGGTGCCTGTCACAGCCTTCTCCAGGCAGGGAACACCTGGAAGATGAGGAAGGAAAGAAATACTGCCTAGCATTTCAAGAGAAAACTGTTTGAAAAGTCAATGATGGGAATGGAAAAATGCTTCCTTAGCATTTCAAAGTGCTTTATTCTACCGAAAGAAGTGATCTATTATTGTGAAGGGAGCATTTGATTGAGTGCACTTACACAAGCATTTGGGGAGTTTTAAAACACCTTTTTCTTAAAAAAAAAAAAAAAAAAGGAAATAGAAGGTCAGTGGAATAATGTGGTATAGGAACGCAATACTGTATATCAGACAGAAAATGCCAAAGAAATGTTCATACGTGGTAATAACAACTCTCTCTCCTAAGCTCTCAAAATTACCAAGCTAAACAACGCATCTCTAAGCGGGGTGGAGGGCACACATACCTTTCAAGAACTAGCGGCGTGCCCAGAGACAATAGGTCTCTTTATACCAATACAGAGACACGTTCCTCAAAAAAGGTTCAAAATTGGGTAAGAAGAAATGACCCAAGAATTAATTAACTAAATAGGAGACTGAAGTAAACAAAGAAAAAATTATCATATCAAAATAAGAGACCAGAAACACGATTAAATTAGGCTTCAAAAAACGTGGGAGAAACTTATAAAAGGTATAATACGCATTTACCTGATTTTTATTCTTTCATGATTTAATTTCTAATTTTATTCACTACCATCTGATAATTGCATGAGACACTTATTCTAACCATGGGCAATTTAGACCATTTTAATTTTTATTTCAAGGCCATGAGACAAAGGAACCTATTTATTGCCTAAGGGGATTTTTTTAAAACAAAAATTAAAGCTTAATCTTTCATGTTTTAAAGCATAGACGGTTTAAAATCATTTATAATAATGCTGTAGGGAGACTGTTCCTGGGTATGCAAAACTGAAATAATAAATTTACAGTTATTAAAAGAATTAATCGTTTAGGGGATTGAATTGTCCCTTTTTCTTTCTAGATAGATTTGTCTGAAGTGTAAGAGATATTTTAAAAACAGGGTTAAACCAAGGCCCGTGCAGGAGAGGTGTACTGCACTTTCTGACGGGGTTCTTAATGGAACAATCAGAAGCCCAGCTCTTTATTATTTAAAAAAAATAATAGGCAAAAGCATTGGCCTTGGGAACTGCTATTTTTATCCCCCCCCCCCCCCCCAGGAAATTGTTCTGATGAAATGGAGAGTCATGAATTCTACTAACCACGCTTTCTATGACTTTGAAAGAGTCCCTGATGGAAATTAGACAAATAATTTACTTTCACTTAAACGCCAGATTTTTTAGTTACACTTAAGAAAAATAATTGAAATGTAGATTTAAATCGTTTCTGTGACTGCACTTCAGGATTTTAATGAAATACTCTCAGCTATTATGCAAAGCGTTCCTCAGCAGAGAAGGGGAAGCCTCTCTCAACTGGCCTCGGCCAGGCCTGGGGAGTCTGCGGAGGGGCCGGCGCAGCTTTAGGAGCAAAGGGAAGGACACCTTGTGGGTGGTGGGTCCTAAGGAGAGAGGGAGGGAGGGAATACATCTCAGGACACACGGTACCTTTCATTAAGGCCCCAGGGAAAAACTGAAAACAGTCAAATATGTTTCAAGTTCCTTAAATACGTGGGCCATCTTCCTGGGCTAAGGACACTGTGTTTTGAGAAGGTTATGCACATTCAAGCTCCTGACCACACTGGAGGGAATGTTGGGGACCACGGATGCGGACCTCACCCCTCACCCTGCTCAGCACCACGGCTTCCTTGCTAGTTTGTGATCATGCCAAGCTCCTCCCTGCCTGGCAGCCTTTACACCTGCTCTGTCCTCTGCCCAGTGCCCTTTCCCTACATTTCGACATGGCTTCCTCCTCTTTATTCAGGTTCCCGCTCCAATGTCCGCCTGTCGGAGAAAGAAAGCCTCCTCCAACCTCTCTACTCTCTCCACCTTACTGCCTGGTCTCTCTGCACAGCGCTTGTCCACCACGTCCAGGGCACACCCTGGTTTGCTCTTGTCTGGTTTCCCTGGCGGACGGGAAGGCTGTCCCTTCTGTTCACTGCGGTGTCCCCAGCTCCCAGGGCAGCGCCTGACACGGTACCAGCACTTAGAACGCACCATCAGTCACAGTTCCACGCGGATCAGCTCACACCCACTTTTGTACTTGGCTTCTTAAATCAACAAGTCCTCTTTTAAAGAAGAATTAAAAATGTTCGAATATCAAATTCGAGTCCCTGGAACCAAGGCACATCCCAGCACAAGTAGCATGACAGAAGAATATATTTTAATACAGTCAAATGAACCCTCAGGAAGCAACCAGCAGGCCGTATAGCCTTAACCGGACTGTCAAAATGGCAGAATAATTTTAATGTAGCTACAATAATACATCAAAGGTAAATTTAAGGGCTGATGTTCCAAACTGTGGGCTAGATGGCTCCTGGCCGTACGAGGAAGAGAGTTTTCATAAGAAAAAAAGTATTATTTTTTCTGCCTTGTTACCAATGATATGCTCAGTGCCTGCTGGTTATTTTCAATAAAAGGGATGGATGGTGAAGGCCATCCTTTTGGAAAAATCAGAAAAATTTACTTTTGACAAAATAAAGCTGTCACTGCTTTCTCTTTAAAATAAAAAGAGCAAATCCTCTTCATTTTCATATGAACCAAAGTGTTCGGATTCTGAGTGACTTTTAGTTCTCTTCTCTCCAAATAAAATATAGTTTAAAATATCAGCTTCTGACTAAAGATACAATGAAATGTGTGAGGTTTTAATGTAACCATTTCATAGTCTTCATAGGGGAGATCAAAATTCTTATTCGAGAAAATACCTTCCAATCCGATTTATATAGCAGATATGTCAGAGAGGTTAATTTTCATAAATTTGTTAAGAAAAATCACTATTATTTTTTATAAGAAAGGGATTTACAGTAAAAAATGTGTATTTCTTAAAAAGGGTCACTACAGGATTTATTTTATTTTATTGTTTCTTTATCTTCACCAGAGGACATTTTTGCATTTATCTTCAGATAGAGCAGGAGGGAGAGAGGGAGAAAGAGAGAGAGAGAAACATCGATGTGAGAGAGATACATCAAGTGGCTGCCACCTGCACGACCCCAACCGGGGCCGGGGACATACTGCAACTGAGGTACGTGCCCTTAGTGGGAACTGAACCCCAGCCTCTCTGGTCCATGGGCCGACGCTGTAACCGCTAAGCCAAACCGGCCAGGGCACGACAGGATTTATTTAAATAACATTAGAGCTATAAGTTAATTCATGGGGGGACAAAGTGGACAGTTGTTTTCCAGGAATACCATTTGTTGTACGCACGAGGCCCACAAGGAGTCATGGCACGTTTTTGGAGACACTTTAGAGGATAAAGCCAGTGCTCTACAAGCTGTAGCTGTGAGACCAGAGCACATTGAGGATACATCCCCAGCTCCTCCTACACGTCTCCCTCCAAACTGTACCCGGAGGGAATGTATCTGACGCGCTGTTTTATAAACATACCGAGGGCTATTGCCTTTGAACCTGCCGGGGGCTCCTTGCTCTCTGATGTCAGAAGCCTTAAGGAAGCTGCCTGTACTTTCAATTTCTGCTTTTCTGGAAGAAAACCCTGCGCTATCACATAAAAGTTTTTTTCAACACTTAGCTAATCTTTCGGGCACAGCCGATAGAGGGTCATGAGGTTTTTTTCAAAGTCAGAGAAAGCTTGGAGATTGTCCAGGCCAACTCCTCCAGGCGAGAGGAGGAGGTGAGATCATTTATCAAGGTCTAGAAAATGCAGAGAAGAAGAAAAGCCAGCGAAACATTTCTTAACAAATCACGGTATCCAAGCAACCACATTATGCCTGGCTTGTATGAAAGAAAAATGGCATCTGCTTTTGAATAAGGCAAGAAAATGTCTGAGGAAAGACTTTAAATGACACAACCCAGAACATGACCATAAACAAACAACAGAGATGGTCCCGCTAGACTGGACTTTAAAGTTAAACGTGAAGAATGGTGCCGGTGTGAAATGTAACATTGCAATGAATAGGGGTTTTGAGATTTAACAGAGAATTCATAAATTGCTAAAAACAAACAAACAAACAAACAAACAAACAAATCAATCAATAAAAGATAGGAGAAAAAGCCTGAGGGATTGAGGCTTTCCAAAACAGTGAAGCCCTAACGAGGACTGAGTGGCCAACACATTTTTGAAAGAAAATGAATGCATGAGAACCACTAGCATGGTGGATTCCCTCATAGAAAACTTATTTCCATTGGAAAATAAAACAGACACACATTGAAAGTTTGGTTCTTTAAAGAAACAAGTTAATGCTGATGCCCAGCCAAGTCCCCTGGCTCTGTCCGGACACGTCTACCCTGCGCGCGGCACCCGGGTGCGTGCAGACCTGGGTACCCTTCTTTCCGCATCCTTACCGGGGCTGGTGAGGGCTCCCAGGGCGCTGCTCGTGGTGGACAGAGGGTTTGCATTGGTGGTGGTGGCTGAGGTCTGGGCCGCGGCTGCAGCCGCCGCCAGCGTGGCCAGATTCTGTAACTGCAAAGCATTCATGCCTGTGAGAGAAAGAGAAAGGCACCTTTAGCAATAGACCCACTTTCCCGGACAGACGATGGAGGCAGAGGCCCTGGGCAATGGGCCCTGCGATGCATGCCTTGGTGGCTCATGTGTCCCCTACCCTCTCAGCAGAGTTATGGTGCTGCCTCTCCTAACCTAGGTACCCTTTCCAGCTGCATCAGCTCAGGGCTGGAGAGGTCATCAGAAAAGTCAAATTGAGACTGCTCTGTGTGGACTGGCCACGGCAGGGCCTTCCACCACAGAGCTGTCAAGGAATGGTGAGGTCTGGGCTTGCACAGGGAGGAAGGGCTCAGGGGTCAATCCTGTCTCTAAACTTGATAGCTGCAGGTTGAAGGTATTAGGAAATGATAACTTACTGGGGAAAAGCTCTTGTTCTGAAATTGAACTGATAAGGGCTTCCTGGCTCCACCACTTTACTTGCTGTGTGATTCTGGGCAAGTTACTTAACCTCTCTGTTTCTTGATTAGTGAGTGGCAATAGTAACTGTATCTTATCTCAAAGGGTTGTTGTGCAGATTAAATAAGATTGTGAATGCAAATCACTTAGCACAGTGACTGGCACGACATAAGTAGCCAATGATAGTGACCGTATTCTTATTATTGTCACTTAGCTCCTCTCTCCAGACTTATTGTAAATGTGAACTACTCTAAAATGTATCCATAGTAGAAACTTCAAAAATATTTGATGACTCAAAGAATAAATAAAAATGGCATTGGCTTGTATTTTTACTTTTAAAATATCTGTATTTGCATTTTAAAGGTATTTGTATTTTAAGGAGGGGCTACTTTTAACTAGAATGAATCTGTGGGTAGTGAAAATTGAGGAAAACCAGCGGAGAGAAATGAAACTTTGCAAGAACACAGGGTGGGATCAGCTGGGAGTTCTGGGGGGTGGTCTGTCACGGGGAGGTGCCGCGCCTGGTGTGCGCTCGGTTGGCCGGTGTCCATGCCATAAACACTTTCAGTATCTCTATTTCTTTAAAAAGAATTTTTTCTTTATTGATTTTAGAGAGGAAGGAAGAGGGGGGGAGAGAAAGAGAAACACTGATTGGCCCCCTCCTGCATGCCCCCACTGGGGATCAGGCCCACAACCTGGGCATGTGCCCTGACCAGCAATCAAATTGGTGACCTCTTGGTCCATGGGTCTACGCTCAACCACTGAGCCACACCGGCCAGGCTCTTCTCTCTACTTCTACTGTTCAATTAGAAGGTTCTCTGAACATTCAAAGTCTTTCTCCACGATTCACTTTGCACTAATGTACACTCAAGAAGCAGGAAACAGTGGTTCTCTCCTTATATAGAGGAATTTTCTACAGAAAGATACTGGAGTTAAGTAATCAGCTTAATTTTACCTCTTTCCAAGTCTCAAATACCGCACTCAATAAACATCTATTGAGCAAATTAAATCTGCTCTGGAGAGACTGGCCTAATGACAGCTTCCATGTGTGCTGGGGAAGGGGAGTGGTTTGAGGGGTGAGAGAATGTTCTAGCAACCTACCTGCGAAGGCCTCCAGCCACAGCTGGGGAGCCCTCAGCCTAAGTGCACCTCAGAGCGCCTGCCGGGCTCCCCCTGCTCCTCTGTCCTGACCCCTTAATCAGGATTTATTTCTACTCAGAAGAGTTCCTGATGCCTTTGCTGTAAAATGAGTTCTCATCTTGCTCAAAATGATATTCTACCTTCTTCCAGATGTCCAGCTCTGCTGGCTTAGGGTGAAAGCCAAACACCTGTTTTCCAAAACCCACTTAGTTCCTGGGGATTCTCAGAGGCAGGACACAGCGCGGAGAATCCTGTGAGTAGGACCCTGCTTTCCCAAGGCAGCTGGGAGCAAAGCTCCTCAGGGCGAGATTTATGAGGGCGGGAGCGGGAAAGCACTGTGTTCCTTCCCAGGCTCACGCAAGGGGAACGGGACGGGGGAAATCCAGGAGCAGCCCGGCTTCGGCTTCGGTGCACACCCACCTGGCCCCAGTGAGGGACCCGCTCCTGAAAGCTGCGTGAACCCACTTCACACTCGAGTGTGACAAGAGTGCGGGCAGGAGTGAGGGATGGGTGTAGTGACTCATCTGTCCCCTCCTGGCCCTCTAGTGATGAATGTTCCCTCTAATGTTTTAATGACAGAAACCAGATGACCTGGCTGCATTACCCACAGCTGGCTGTGTGGGCCAGAGGAGGGTTTAGCACTAAAATTAAAATCCACAATGCACATCTGGCCTCGATTAATGGTACGCAGAGCCACTCTCCTCGGCCCAGGGCCCTTGCCGGGGACAGCTCCTCTGCCCACCCCGTAGGAGCTGTGGTGCCCCAAGGGCAGAGCTCCAGGGCTGGAAGGAGCTTGGCCTACACACCGAGGTCAGAGACTCAGGTCAGAGGCAGCAGAACCTCCCAGGTCTGGGGCAGCACTCCTGCCCCACCTCAACATGTGTGAACTCCTGTGTGTTACCTGCAAGCTCCCTGATCTTATTTCTAACTCTGGAGTCATTCATTCATCATATCCCACTTGGATGCTACTTTTCCGTATTTCTTACTTTTATAATTAGACACTAAGTTCCTTGAGGACAAAGATGTCTTATTTGTTATCAAGTCTACCTCACACACGTACACACACACACGCATGCACGCACACACATGCACTGCTGTCTACATAGCAGGTGATGGGTGACTCCATGTAGGATGAATGGACAGAGTAACAAACAATATGAAATCTTCATAAATTGCTCTAAAGAGTGCTGTCCATAGACCCAACCAAGATTTTAATTTCCTCTGTGTTTTGTCAGCTCTTTAGTATACACAACACATTAAGCATTGATTCAATATTCATTATAGGTCCTGGAGCCCGGCCAGCAGTTCTCAGGTTCTCTGCCCCCCGCCCTCTCCGCTCGGAACCGGCCCGAGGCCTTGCATGCCCTCTGGGTGCCTCCTCTGCGCTTCCCCTGGCATGCTTCACCACCCGAGAGTGCCACCCCGTCCGGTCGTTCCCTGCTCCAGCTAGAAAGGCCATGGAGAGCGACTTTGGCTCTGGAACAGGACACTGGGGGTGGGGGGCACTCTGTTCAACAATCACGTGAGAAGGAACGAAATATGGGCGGAAAGAAGCAGAGATGATGAGTGAAAAGGAAGAGGGGGAGGATTAGATGGTGAGAACCAGCAGAGAGTAGGACCTGTGTTTGCCTGGCCATCTACGTATCTGTCTGTCTATCCATCCACCCATACATCTGTCTATCCATCTGCACATGACTGAGTGGCCACAGTGGGCCAGACCCTGCGCACTGCACTGAGAATTAAGCAGAAAACAGTCTGCCCCCAGAGGCTGCTGTATACGGAGCAGGGAAAAGCCAGGAACTGGGGGATAATCCTACATCATCAGTTTCTAGAAAGAGGTCCAGACTCAAACTCCTCACTAGTGTTTAGCTTGACAGGATGAGACCGAGCCCAGGAAGGCACTGGGCAGCTGAAGCACTGGGGGGAGGTGCGTCCCCGTGGAGGGTCACACCCGTCCTTCCTAGTCCCTTCACAGTCCTCGTGGGCTGACCTGGGCAGGGTTCGCGGTGCCCCTTCCCCACTCATTCCCAGACAGAAGTGGTCAGGGTACTCAAGGTGGACATGGCAGCTTCCTTGCCACCTATTCTGGGTGGAGACCCCATGAGCAGCCCTAACCCCCAGGTTTCTACATTTCTCAAGGCAGAGGCATCTCTTCTTCACCCTGTCCTGTGTTCCCAGGACCTGGAATACACAGCCTTCTCTCCTGGAGACAATGTGACAACACTGCCATTTACTGGAGGCAGCTGGTGGTCTGTAGTTCGGGAAAAGTGCAGCACCCTCCACCCCAGACTCCTGGGCTTCAGCCTGGGCCCCGCCCACCTCCCCGCCCCGCACCCGTGAAGGACTATCTGTGCCTCAGGCTCCTCTGCTGCAAAGTGGGAATAAAACAGAACCCGCCCTGCCAACAGCACGTGTCCTGGGTAGGTGAGGTTTTGGCTCTTCCTGCCTCCCACAACCAGGGAGTCCTCATCCATAGTGTGGACATCCCACTTAGGAAGGAGGCTGGGGGCCACGCTGAGCCCAGAAAATCAGGAAGCAGCCTGGGGAGCCGGTGCGGACCGCTCGCAGCGTCTTTCTCGACCTCCTTGGCCGCACCAGACTTCGCGGCCACCCAGGCGGCGGCATCGCCGTCTTCTCAGACATCGGCCGGTGCAGCCCGCGGCTCCCGCTTGAATGCGGGCTGTTTCCTCAAACTCCGCGCTGGGCCAACAGGGGGGCCCCACAGGCCGTTAATAGGGGGTTTCTGCTTCTACGCCCTTCAAACTCACACTTCTGGTTCTTTTCGCCTTTTTCTCTGGGAGTGTCTGAGCGCACCCTGTCCTTTCCTCGGCCGGGCTCGGCTCACGGGTGCCTCCTGGGGGTCCCGCTCCCCGGCTGCGCCCACGCGACAATCCAGAGGGGCCTCCAGAGGGGCCGGGGCCGCAGGCGAGAGCGGAGAGCGGCTTCCCGGGGAGAGCTGGCTCTGGTTTGGCTGACGGCTCTTTTCCAAGAAGAAAACCACCCCTTTGAACCTCACGAAGAACTCTGCTTGGAGGGGCACCCCTCAAAACAGGATGAAAATCTGGGTGACTAGAAATGCAAAACATTTACATAAATGTTAGGAAATCCAATAGTGTGCCAAGATCAAGATGGCAGGAAAAAAGAAAGAAAGAAAGGAAACGTTGAGAATACAGGGATTCCATGTTTCATTCATTACTTGGGAAAAGAAGGTCCTTCTCCAAGCGGAAGTAATGATGTAGAAAACAGATGTGCAATGTGCCTACTCCAAACTTAAGATTTAAAAAAAAAATTTTTAAGGAGAAGGGCATGAAAATTTAATTTAATGTTCACCTTAGGTAATTTTGTGTCTTATTGTTCATAGCAATTACCATAAATCTGCATATCAATAAGCGAGAACAGATGTCAGTTGTTACAAGTGCTTGCCAATCAGGTCTGTTGGAGA